GGACAGAGTTAACTGTTAGGGATTCCTTATATCACTATGAGTCTCTATGAGTCAGGCCACTGGACAGCACATAACAACAACAATCTGTTCTGTTTAAATGCAAAGTCAAGAAGGAAGATGTTGAATCTCTGTGTTGATAGTTGAGACCAAGACAGTAATCAAGTTGTGGAATGGTTATCTTGATAACCAACTTATAATTTTATTTGTTTTCGGAAAAACTTATCTTACTTCAATTTGCATTGATATAGATTCCTCAGAGAACATTAAGAAGTATTATCAGATATCATCATCTGCTGAAGAGAAAACTAATGAAATAACTTCCATCATAAATAACTCCGAAAGCACGAGGAATGACTTACTTGCCATCTTAGATAGAGTAACCTCAACAGGGAACTTGTCTTTGGAAAAATTAAAGCAGATTAAGATACCAGATATCCAAATACTAAATGAAAAGGTAAATAATTGTGATGGTATAATAAAAGTGCCTATGATTTTTACTTGGTATACAAATCTCTTCAATTGTACATTTCTATCTTATATTTTTTTACTTTAAAAGCCTTTCTTGAGACAAAGTTTGATCAAAATCAAAGTGTAAAAATTATGGCCAAATTTTATTGCTTTATATTGACTTTATTTTGTTATTTACTCTTTCTAAAGTGGTATAAGGGAACTCTGGTAACATAGTGCCTAAGGCACTTGACTGCTAACCAGAAGGTTGGCGGTTCAAACCCACCAGGCACTCCTCGGAAGGAAGATGGGGCAATCTACTTCCGTAGTGATACCGCCTCGGAAACCCAAGGAGGGGTCACTATGAGTCGGATCTGACTCGATGGCACATAACGGCAACAACAACAAAGTGGTATAGATTAGGGACATTTACTCCATTTGCCTCGGGAGCTCTGGTAGCATAGTGGCTAAGGCACTCGACTGCTCACCAGATGGCTGGTGGTTCAAACCCATCAGCCACTCCTCGGAAGGAAGGTTGGGCAATCCTACTATCCGTAGTGATACTGCCTCGGAAACCCAAGGAGGGGTTGCTATGAGTCAGGGCTGACTCGACGGCACATAACAACAACAACTCCATTTGCCTCAGTGTAAGTAAAAGGTCATTTCTATTTTAAAAAGTAAAATTAACAAGGAAACACTATGAATTTGACTATTTTTCCCCAAAACTACCAGTATAAAAATGACATTGATTGATACAATACTAATAATAAATAATTTAGATATTTATTCAGTTACCTAGGAAACAGTTCATGGGTCACCTCCATGTACAAAGCATAAATGATTGAAGGAACACATATGAATTAAGCAGTGCCTTGCCTCAATGAGATGGGATGGGAAAACCCACGTATAGAAGCTAACACATCATGATATATGTGTTCTTTTAGAGATATATACATGCTGTTGTGAGAATACATTAAAAAGCTAGACATAATAGATACAGGGAGCTAGTCTAAGACGACAGCATATGTCATTGTTAGAGCATGGAGTTTATGGAGAATATGCACGGTTACTACTGAGACAAACACATGTTTACTCATTATTTAATGGAATGGTTCCCATGCTATATTGTAGCGTAATACTTCCATGAACTAGAAAAGAACACTGGGAACATGTCTGTCTTTAACACACACGTTTTCTCCCGGAAGGTGTGTGGAGAACAAGGACACCTGCCCTGTGTGTTGGCTCCCTGTGGTGGAGCTCTCTGCAAGGGGGCTCAGGGACACAGACACTGTGGTGGCCTGGGCTGCCATGGCTCCCTGGCCCTCTCATGGAATGCTCTCCAGAAAGCTCAGGAAACACAAACCGTGATTCATAATTTGGACAGCCAGTTTCAAGGGTTGGAGAATCAGGTAAATAATGTCTTTGCTCACTTTATTTGTAAATTTGTAGCAGTAAAGAAGCAAACCTGTTTGAAATTTTGAAGACTGCCCTTAAACTTCCAAGAGAAATAGGATAGATAGGATCCTAGACAGTAGGTATTCTTATGCCTGAAAATATAAGGTAAAAATGTAGATATGGATATGAATAGATTTAGATGTGATTATTCATATATTTTCTATTTTATCTAT